CCTCCCTCCTGATAGCCTTGATCTCCCACATCACTCTCCTCCTCATAGATACATTCCATCATACAAGCACAACCAAGGCTATCTCAGTACTAAATCCTGGCCTGAAGCCTGACAAATGGATCTAGATAATCCATTTCCTCCGGGGTTCTGAGCAGCTGAAGACTGACCATCTTCTCAAAAACCTCCCTCAAAAAGGGAAGGTTGGAGACTGGTCAGTAGTTCTCAAAAACCGTTGGATCCAGGGACAGCCTTTTGAGGAGGGGGCACACCACTTCCTCTTTCAAGGTAGGAGGTACCATCCTGTAATGGAATGTATCTACGAGGAGGAGGAGAGTGAAACAGGGTAGCAAAAGAGAGTCTCTTCCTATTCTTTGTAAGGCAAAGTAGTAAATAAAGCAAAATCTAGATGGAATGGGAGGAGTATAATCTCTGATATTCAAGCCATGGGACCCACATTTAGTTATAATCTTAAAATGGAATTTGGGAGTGGGCTGCAGGGATACAGTTAGGCTGTAGAAGATAGTATGATGTTTTCAGAATATATCTAGTCCTCTCCTAAAGGTGCTTGGAATAAATAATCTTTGTTATCCCATTTTTTTTAATATAAAACCTAGCTGTTACTTGAAATATTTATCAGAAGTAAGACCAGGTTGGAATGCAGTAAAATGTTGTTGCAGTGTCATAAAGTTAATATATCTCAGCAGATTACCTGAATTTAAAGAGCATCATACAGTTTTTTAAAAAACAAATAAATAATAAATTACTTAATCCTGTCTGAGATGCCAACTTGCCTTAATGAGGTAGACAGTAAGCAATTATGAATAAGTAATTTTGCTGTTGAAGTACTAAATACAAAAGAGCTTCCTCCATTGGAAACTTGTCGGGTTCTACTGCTGTAATTTTCAGTCTTGTAATTTTCATAAGCAATAAACATATTTAAAAGGGGTTTTTAAAGAATTTCAGCCCTACAAGAAATATTGTGTTAATATAATATTGATTACTAGTTTACTTCCTTAAGCTATTCTTTTCCCATAATGCAATACTTTCTTATGTATGATATATATTTATGTAAATATATACTTTGCTTTGAAAATATTTTTTAACCATGATATGTATAAAGGCTTTTTAAAAATATAGGATGAATAAATACAGGATAAAATGAGCAGTAATAAAGAATTTGAAAATTCAAAACATATAATGATAAATTATCTACCATTTTTAAAAAGTTGAGAAAATGTACATGGTCTCAAATGAGTCTTAAAAGTACAGAACTTACATCTTGTTTATTTCCCACCATTTATATCTACTGCTTCTCATTTTTTATCTGTGTTTTCTTTGTTTCCAGTCCTTAAACATTTATTTTCACATTCCCTGTATTAAAAGGAATTGATCTCTATCATTTCAGCGTTGGAATGACAGCACTTCACTTTAAAACTAATTTAAAACAACTGTGACTGGATTCCATGGCAAAAAGAGGGAAGATCCACAGACCTTAAACTTAATTTTCTTTCCCAGATATCTCAGCAGATGTCTGGATTTGGAAGCTGAACAGTATTGTATTGGGCTTGGTTAATACTTGGAATTGAGATTACCAAGGAATGCCAGGGCTATATAGCTGACTTGGAAGTTGGAAAACTTCCTGGGAAAAGGGAGTGGAGAATTACTTCAGCACTCTTGCCAAAAACTCTTTAAGGATGTGTCCATGAAGACACCAGTTCAGCTCAAAGGAGACTTTACCTTTCCACCTGCCATATAATCTGGAGGTTGTACTGGAACTATTTATAAAGTTCATCTGACTGATCCCTTGCAGAACTTGAGTTCCCTTCTATTCTTTTCTGTTTTCAGAGATTATGAACCCATTGTCAGACATGTTTATGTCTTACCAGGCACAGGGACAAACTCTGGAAGTTAACTTGTACCTTGAAATGAAATAATTAGAAACAGCTTTGGTTTAATTCACTTTTACCAGGTCATTGCTCTACATGTTAAAGAGTTCTAACTTTCAATAGTTCCAGTTAGAAAAACTGGACATTATACATCAGTTATTCAGATTAACTCTGCATTTTCCTCACTGTGTCTCTTAATAAAACAAACTGTTATCTTACCTATATTTTATTTCTGGTAATAGAGGAAGAAATAAACAGTAATTTAAATTCTTCAAATATGGTTATGTCCTCAATAGAACGTAAAAGAGTGGTTTCTATCTTATTATTTGCATTGAATAGCATCTTTCAGTGTTTCATTATATTATTTAGATATTATTTTAGATAATTCAAAATACCAAATATACCGAATAATGCAAAAGTACCAGAGTTGAATCTGTTATTTCACTCAATATTTAAATGTTTCCATACCATTTATGATTAGGGTCCTTCATAGGTTGTTATAAATGTGTTAAAAATGGAATTAATGTACATTTTATCTTGTACATTTTAGTACAGATTAGCTCACAGCCAGCTAGTTGTCTGTGGGAAGTAAACCTGTGCATGTACAGATCCATGTGCATTGGCTTCCATGCTGTATGTGTAAAGGTTTTCTTCGGGACAGGGATTATATATTGAATATTGAAGAAGCTTCCATGTTTGAATAAAATGACAAGTCACTCACAGTGTCTTGCATTTTTTTGTTCTAGGTTAACTTGTTTGTTTTGCTTTCTGTTATTTGTGTTCTCTTGAACCTGGCGGGATTTATTCTTGGATGCCAAGGTGCTCAATTTGTGTCCAGTGTTCCTAGATGTGATCTGGTGAGGAGATATTTTATTTGATTATGTTCAAGGTATATATTCAAGGTATAACAAATAACAGTAATTGTAATGCCCCATAATTAATTAATTATTAATTATTATGCATTAGTCCACATGGATCTACAGTATGGCATAAGGAAATATGTAATCCTAATATCAAATGTATGAATCTGATTTTCTTCTGTTCAGATCAAATATTATATTCTTATATATATTTTGAGAATATAAGGCTTTAAATGGAAATCTGTAGAAGTTCTTTAATCTACATTAATGATGACATGTTTTATTGTTCCACATAGCAGTTACTTAACGTTGTATGTGTCTTATGATAGTAAAGTGCTTTTTGCTTTCTGGATGATTAATTTTTTGGTTTAATTCTGATAACATTTTGATATTCTATAAAAACATTACCCTCAAATGACTAATTCAAATGCTCACTACTTTTCTCAATATTAAAGGTTGATGTTGCTGAAAATAAAATGTGTTTCTGCTGTGAAGAATTTCTGCCAGCAAAATGCACCGAGAAAGAAAATGCATTACAGCTGTATGCAATCCAGTCATGCAGTTCAGTTCACCTTCTACTCAAAGTAAGGTTACTAATACTCACTGTAGTGGTTGTAAATAAACTGCTATAAATAGTAACGTGATTAAGAATAATATTGATTACTTTCCAATGCAAATCTTGCAGACTTTTTTGTTGCTTTTTTTATTCAGGACCCAAAGACCTGTAGGAGGAAAATACTAAGGAAAGAAAGACAATATATAACCTTGATTGACCATGTTTGGTCATATCAGGGGCTATATGTGGGGCTTGTTGACTTTGTCAGAGAGTGCATATTGCACAAAAAAGGGAAAGTCAGAGGTGAATAAAGAAAAAAGACGGCATTCTTTATAGAAATCATATGTTTTAAAAAACCATTCTACCATTTTTTTTCTGGAATTAACCTCTCCCTCCATTCTTTCACACTTTACAAAATTTGACTGTATGTAAATTCAATCATACACTTGCATCTGGAAATATGACAGTGTATGGTAAAGTTGGAATGCATAAATTTGGTTCTTAGGACTGATGTTACAATGAATAGTTTTCACTTGAGTGCAAGATTTATCTTCCTCAAATAGCCAGTAGAAATGAGAATCTGGATCACATCTTTGGTGTGGATGATAGGGAGCTTTAATCCATTATTATAGCATATCTGACATATAGCCATCCAGCCTCTCTTTCAACACCTTTAGCAAGAGTCTACCACTTCCCAAGGCAGTTTGTTCCATTGCTGAGTGGCTGTTACCTTTAGGATTTTTTCCTGATGTCCAAATTTTATTTCCTTGTAATTTAAACCTTTCTTATCCTGATTTCTGCAATAGTTCAGATAATTCTGTCCCAACTTCTACATGCCAGCCATTGGATTACTTGAGGACATCTGTCATATGTCCACACAGTCTTCTCTAAGAAGAACATGCCTAGTACCTCCAGCCATTCCTTGTAAATTTTTCCTTCCAGGTCCTTTATCATCTTGGTTACTCTCCTTTGAGTATGTTCCAGTTTCTCAGTGCCCTTCCTAAAATGCACTGCCCAGAACTGGGCACAGTAGCCTATGTATGGTCTGATTAATGGAAAATAGAGAAGAACAATGACTTACTTGATCTTGATACTATACTGCAAATAGATGGTGTGAAGGTCTAATTCTATCTCCGGGCTGCAGTGATAGGCTAAGATTTAAAATCCATTTACCTTGGTGCTAAATCTCCATCTAGATGGGCTCCAGAGCTGGTTACCTGTATGAAAAGAAAAATCTTGCATTCCAGGCTAAACAGTGGGGAAAGTGTAACTTGTAGCTTGGCTCTAAAAAAAATGGTTTAGCTTGTTGTTTTGGTTCTCTCAGAAGCAGACAGAAGTTATTTGGTAAGATTTACAAAACAGTATATTATCTGTAGAATGACATGAGAGGGTACTAAAATGTTCTAGCAAATCTGTAGAAATGATCATAATCTCTAATAATCATTGAAAACATAGGGAACAATTATCACTATTATATTTGCTTATAGTTCTAAATCAACAAAAAATGTCTTTGGATTAAGTTCTGTAATTTGGAATTTTTAAAAGTATAAACTGCATAGTCTGTGTACGCTGGAGAGAAAGATATCAGAGAAGAATATCTCTGGAAGAGATATAGGAAGAGAGCTGTGTTAGTCTATGGTGGCAGAAAATTAGGAGACTGATAGTACCGTTTCCCACTAACAAATTTTATTAAAAGACATAAGCTTTTGTGAGCTGCAGTTACTTCATCAGATGCATAGAGTGGCTAGAATGATACAGGATTTAAATTATGGTGAGGTGGATGGAGAAGGAAGGGAAGAGGAAGAGATGTTGGTTGTGCAGATGTAGGTTACATAGGGAGTATGAGGAAATTACAATGTTGTATTTGCCATTATTGATACGCAGTAACTTTCTGTAGCACAGGTTTGCATATAGTATAGTTTTTAGATGAAGACAGACATCTGGTTAAAAGTTTTTTTTTTTCTTGGAAATCAAAAGAATTAATACACGTGTGCTTTTAAAAATATGTCTGGTGAATCACAATTGTATGCAGTCATTGCTTTTTTGGTGTTTTTAATTTTTTGTCCTCCAGAAAGTTCTCTTTGCTCTCTGTGCTCTGAATGCCTTGACAACCACTGTTTGTTTAGTAGCTGCTGCCCTACGTTACCTGCAGATATTTGCAACAAGAAGATCCTGCATAGTAAGTGAGTGCAAGGCACAATTTCATTTTTAAAAAGTAGATGTAGAAGGAAGTCAATCTTCCATATCTTCTGTTCATGCTGTACGAGTGTTTTACAGAACATTATCTTGTTAGGAAGAACCTCAAGTTTATACAGAGGAAGTTGAAGAAGACGGTCATGCTTCTGATCCTGATGATTTTGTGCCACCAGCCCCACCTCCATCATATTTTGATACATTCTATTCTTCCACACCACGAGGGAATCACAGGTAAAGTAACAAAAACAAATTTGCTCTTGATATTCTGAGACTGACAACTGATTTAACCAACCCTTCTTATTAGATCTGCCTCTAAAGCAGTGTTTCTCCACTTTGGCAATTTCAAGATCTGTGGACTTCAATTTCTAGAATTCCCCAGCCAGCCATGCTGGCTGAGGAATTCCAGGAGTTAAAGTCCACCTTTCTTAAAGTTGCCAAAGTGGAGAAACACTGCTCTAAAGTGTGGCTCCTTCCCTCTCCCCTAATAATAAAGATTAAATGGTATTACTGTTGTTCCAGACTGACAACTGGGTGTAATTTAATGATTTTCATCAAAAAGATTTGTGGTGTTGAGTCTGGGTAATATAAATATGGTACTTTGTTGAGGCATGATATAGTCTGTCTAGAAACTGAGTTCAATTATGTAGCTTGCATGTTCATTTGCAAACCTTTCTAAAAACCCCAGAACATGTTACCTGAATTTTAAATAATTTTTTTGGTTGTATTTCAAATAGTTTAAAATAAATGTGTGATAATTGCTTTCAGTAGGCACTGAAATAATGATTACAATTCTAAATAAAACTATAAAATATACTGTATATACTGTTTTATATAATACTATAAATTCAGTTTTTGCAGGGAAGGGAATGGTGCATAGGTAAAATAATATATTTTCATTACGTTTTCCAAACTAGATGAACTAGGTTATAAAATAACAGATGCTGCATTTTTCTTCTTGTACACGTTCAAGGTTTATAATGAGATAGCTGTTCAAGGTGACATATTTGCAAACTTTGCTTGAACTGTTCCCGAAGAAATGGTGAGCGTTATTGAGCTAAAACAACCTTTGTTAGATGGCGAGTAAATGTTCCATGTTAAGCATCTTAAATATCAGAATTGTGTGTGTGTGTGTGTGCGTGTATTGTATAGTAATATATTGGAAAATTGTTCTGTGAAATTCCCCTGTACAAGGGCCTCTAATTCTGATCTTTGATTGTTCTAGTAAATTGTCAGAGTTTTTATTCTGTTATGTGGCTTAGCATGTAAAAAAGTTCTTAAAGGAGAAGAAAGGGAAGGCTTCCTTTGCCACTAACATAAGAGTATATAAATGATTTCCATCCTCCAGCAGAGTGAACACTGTTAGTTCCCCTCTCATTGCAACTTCCCATTTATGTCTTTCCTTTGTGCTTTAGAGGATTAATAGTAGATTTGGGGAATAAGCAGGTAGAGGTGCTGCTGAAGGAGGAAAAGAAGAGAAAGTCCCAGTTGTAGAACCTAAATCCATTGCTATCACATTACATATAATCCATAGAGATAAGATGGATGTTCTGAAGGTGTAATGTCCTGGTAAATTTTTGTGGGAGAAGGAAATAAAAAGAATGCAATGTTGGGATTTAACCACGTGTTTTGATAGTTAGTTAGGCTAGGGACTCTTATTCACAGCAGCATTGCATTTTGTGATTCCTTGGGGCCCAAGCTGCTAATAAAATACTTTAGTGTAAAAATCTGCTGCCTGCATTTTCAGCTCCTATTCTGCCTCATCAACGATGCAAAATA